CGGTAACTGATAAACAACAAATTACTTTAACCGCGACGGCCGGGATCAAAATATCTGCATACAGGCCCTTTCCAGATGCCAACAAAATAGTGGGAGGAATGGTATAAAAAGACGCAAAGACCAAAAACACTCACACATTGATAGAATTCACGAAAGCGTCCACGATTCATGGCAGGTTGATCGCGTCGATAAACTTTGCCGATCTGGTATCGCTTAATGCTCATAATTTTATTCATCGCAACATATCTGGCGAAGGGGACCTAAACATCACATTAAAACATTACTTGATTTCAAAGGGTAAATCAGAGTTAGGGAGAAACCCCACCGTTAAATCATAACGAAGTGACAACAATTCACCGCCTTGATCCTCAAGGTTGTATATAAGCTTCGATTCTTCGCCGTACTTTCCGGTCAACACTTCCTTGAGTTCAAAAACAGGCGTTTCGATGGATACTGCATCGTGGCGCTTAAAACAATCCTGAATGACGCCGAAAACTTGCTCAAGGATGCGCATTTGCACGGGGCTTCTATCTCGTGTACCTTTGGGAGTCTTTAAAACGAAAGACTGTTCAGAAATTTCTGAGGAAGCGATCTTTTTCCCAAGTTCCTGGATCTAGACGAATACGCAAGCGAAAGCAATTAGGGCGGAGTCAAGTGAGTGAAGCAAACTAAATCTCGCAAACCTGAAATACGGATAATGTGTTTAGACTCCATAATAACTGAAGTCTTTTGTAGTCATAAACGCTATATTGTTTAGTCAATAACATAACCACACCTGTTGTTCAGAAATGGTCGCATCATGATCACTTTGCATTTTAATCCTAAGTGGCGCAGCAGAACAGAACGAGAGTGACCTACTGGGCTAGTTACGACCGCTAGGGTTTTGTTTAATAATTGGTGTGCAAAACAATTGCACCTGGTCATTAACTCTCAACAATTGATTCATATCCCACAACGAGGATTATATTTTGAATTTAAGGTTTAAAGACTATAAAATGACGCTCTACGCAGTGCCAATGGCGTACACATTTTTCAACAGTAATTTTTAGGTTGTGAAAGTCAATTGCACCTAAAGCGGGGCTCAAGAAGCGTCAGTCCATCATTCTAGTACGATAATTGTTTTTCTACCTTCACTCCGACCTAAAACGTTTGCTAAAATGACAACTTTAATGCAATACGCAGCCTCTTCCTCCTTCAAGCGCTGTTCCCGGTGCCACCTTTAAAACCTCCGTCTGGTGGCCTCTATTCTACCAAAGCATGGGGTCCATTCCCATGGCCTACTAAAAATGTGCCTGTATAGAGCCTAATTATGATGTAATTTTATTAGCTGGGTAGAAATCTCCGTATTTCAGAAGGGATAGTTCTTAGGTGACAAAACCTTGACTACGCAGTAGAGAATGGTAGAATTCGCAATGAGTATCTGGAGGATAAATTGATCTGTATTATTGAACTAAACCTTACTTGTTGAATTTATTGGTATGGGGGCGTCTGAAGTTAGATTGGTGACGAGTTCAGTACTTGCCTAAGATCCTCTTTCAGACCTAAGACGTACTGGAGGGCGTTATCCACTAAGGTTCTCCTAGTGCTTGAGGCAATGTCAGGAGGGACCCTTATTTAGCAATCTGTAAGCATCTTGAGGGGTTAGACTCCAGTCAAAGTGTGAGCAGAGGCTCGGTAAACGAGGAGAGCCTGTCTTAAATGTAGGTCCCAATCATCTAGTCGTTCCCGTTTGACAAAGGCTTTCAATAGGTTTACGAGTGTACCAATCGACCTTTATGCCTGCGCATTGCCATGGGGATGATCCAGGGTCTTGCGCGTTTTGCATATTTCACAGATTCCGCACAGATCTTTGAAGGGACAGCTTTCAAAAGTAGAGCCTTGGCCGTTATGAACAGATTCGGATACACCTCGTCGACAAATGTAGCGATCGAAGAATGTGGTCACTATTATCTCAGTGTCTTACGCTTATTAGGGCTCAGCTTCAGCAACTTTAGTGAAATAGTAGACTATCACCAACATACAGCAGTGCCCTCTTGCGGTTGTTGGAAGTGGGCCCATGATATTGATGTCTACTCCCTCCTTTGGAAATCTCGTAGGTATCAGTTAAAGGAAGGCAACCAAGGTGCGGTATAAATTCTTGAAGTTGGCGACAGAGGTCGATGACATTGGTGCAAGTGAAGGTCACCAACACCTCTCTTTTGTCACGATAGCCACCTTTCTTTCTCCACATAGCCTAGTTGCTCATGTAACTCGAACATCGCTGTCTGCATAAACAAACCTGGTATCATAAGGATTCTGGGAACTACTGCATCATCTTTTTACCATTTGATGTCGTCTCCTAAGGAGAGTTTTTACCAGATCTGCCATATTCGTTTGGCTTTCTTGCTCCCGAACTCATTTACTTGACTGTTTTTTCAATGAGGGAAGAGGATTCGCTCAACAGCAACGGACCTATTGTAGAGCGTCTGCCCCTGGCAAGAAAGTTCTGCGAGTCAGTGTCCGCATTGCCATGAACGCCCCATTTCTTATACTGCATAGTGAATCATATTGCTGTAGTTCCTCACACCGGTTAGAAACTGAGCGGCTGATTTCGTTCGTTGCTTTCAACCACTTTAGGCCTGGTAGTCTGCAGGCACTATGAACTGCTCGCCTATCCGATAATGTTTGAAGTGTCTGACCATAGGACAAACAATTCCCATTCTGTTGTGCTTTTCCTTTGCATTTTCTTATTTAGCTGGAAAATAGCGACAATGTGCTCTTTCTTTCCTTTATGCTTTTGAGGGAGTACACCACTCACCGCTACATCACTCGCACCTGTTTCCAATATCACTATCAATGTGCTGCAGAAGGCACTCTTTAAATCCTTAAGTTCCATGTGTGTTCGGTTTCCCAAATAAAGTCCTTTCTTGCTTGCTCCTCTGTCAGCTTGTGTAGTGGAATAGCGATCTTAGCAAAACCCTTGACGAAAAGCCCATAATAGTTCTCCAACTTGATAAAACTACAGGGTCCCTTCGATTAGTGAGTATTGGTCAAGTCCGCATTTGTTTCGTACGATCTTCCGTGACCGTCATCTCCTTGGCAGAGACCGTGTGGCTCAGGAGTGTGACAGATCTTTAAAGAAAACAGCATTTTACGTTAAATGCTAAATTGGATTCTCGTATGTTGTTGGAAATCCTCACCAAAGGTGAGAATGCCATCCAGGTGGATAAGTTAGTGTTTCGGGGAGAGACCGCACAAAGCTGCATGCATTAGTCGTTAGAATGCAACTACGGGGTTGTGTAGGTCCAAACAGCATCGTTTGGAGTTCGTAAAGACCGTTTGGTGCGATGAAAGTCGTTTTTCCCAATCCTTCTCTACTTCCATTTACCAATAGCCAGATTTCAAGTTCAGCGTAGAGCACTACCTTGCTCCTTGG